GTCCATGCCCCTCTTTTTAACAATCAGATGTAATTCGGTTTAAAACATACTCTATGACCTCATTAATTAATGAAGAAACCCTAGTCCCAGGGGTTAGGATTCCTACATATTTGTTTATATGGACATTCAATCCATAAAGCTTCCTAGATTGGAGTGGGTCACAGTTTTGTTTTGTTTTAATTTTTTGTTTTGTTTACCCTTAATCTCTGACTCATTCCCTGAACCCCAAGGAAATATATGTTTAGGATAAAGGAACCTCAGAATTGTGCATAAGTTTATGATTTGGGTATGAGTCCCTACCTGACATCAGGTTTTATTGGCATGCTGAGCACCAGACAGCAAGGAAGAGCAAGAGAGCTCTGGGGCATAGCTATACCTTATTTATTTATTTAATTGTTATCCAATGATAGCCTAGATATGGGACTGTTAAGTGGAAAATAAATTTTAGCCTAAAAACACTTGAAGGCCCCATGTTAGTGATTGTTACTAGGATGAACCTTGAGAACATTGTACTCAGTTCAGTAGGTCAGATGCAAAAGGGTACATATTGTGTGGTCCCACTTACATGAAATATCGAGAACAGGCAAATCTATAGGGACAAAGCGTTATTATTAGTGGTCACCAGGGGCTGGGATAAGGGGAAATGGGAACTTATGTCTAAGGAACTCTGCTGGTGCAATGGGTTAAGTGCTCGGCTGCTGATAGGCTGGTGTTTTGAACCCATACAATATAGCTCTGAGGAAGAGAGACTGTGATCAAGTCCTCTAAGAGTGACAGCCAAGGGTTTCTGGAGCAGTTTGACTCTGTCACATAGGCTTGTCATGAGTCAGAAGGAAACCCAACAGCAGGGATAACTTCCCCAGAGAAGAATCTCCTTCAGGATCATGCTGTTGCATGCCTTGTTTTAACTTGATTGACCCTTTATGGTCCACTAGGATGGAATAGCTACAGAGAGCACAGCCCAGATGAGTTAAACAAATGATAACTTCCGGGGCAACCACTTAAGACAGATTGGATGTGGATATGGGGTTTGATATGATTTATAGGAAACAATGGCCTTGCCTAAAATGCCAATTTTGTGCTTCTTAAATTTTTACATTTTGCTTGGAAAATACCAAATCAACTCCCTAAGACTGAAGTGTCTGTCTTTATGGTTCTTCCCCCTGTATGTCCCCACCATATTCCTGCCCCAGCCCCTGCAAGCTTTTAGAGCAAGTCAGACTGACAGGAGTCCTTAAATTAAATTGTAGCCTGTGAGCCGTGAGGCCAAGTCTGTACTGTGTAATTCCCACCGAGGCTACGCTGCTTTTAAATGTTACGTAGGTTGTCAAGTTTCCCTGGAAATTCATTGTTATACCTACTTGACTTTGCTTAGGATTATTTTATAATCTCCATCTCAGAATATTCATCATTTAAATTGCAACAGCTACTTCAAAAGCAAACGAAACATGCTATCATTTGCAGAGGTCATGTGTTGGCTTATTAAAAGGGTCTGTCTGTGCCACAGTTCATGTTTACTGTGATTCCTAGTTTTTAAATCCTGGCTTTGTGCTTTCAGCTGTGCTTAGTCTTCAGAGAATGGGCATGTGTGCAGGAAAATAAAAGAAGACAGGGAACGTAGGGATTTTAGTTCTTGCTGCCCTGAAGATCTCACAAATGACAGTTATGCATACTGGGGGCATAACATCAAAAAGGAACAACGGACAATTATTTGCCGCATGCTAAGAAATGATTTTCCCTCAATCAGATAACTAACATCATGTGCTTCTCTCTATTCGATATGTCAATGAGAAAAATACACTTGAATATCGAAGATAGCCATCCATTAATATAGTTGTGTATATATTTAGGAGCCATGGTAACATAATCTAATCTACACAGAAAGGGAAATAATTTTTTTAAGATTCTTTAAAAAGAAAAAAGAATTCTTTATAAAAAATTCTTTTTACCAAAATGAAACCAGAGATAAGCAAAAAGAGCGTATTGTATGCAAAGATAGGAGGGTGTTGTTCAGAGCTGGTCAGTAGATACCGACTCAGGAGAGCCTCCTTTGACAACACACCTGGCCCATGGGTTTCCTATGATGTCATCTTTCCCGGGAATAGAGCTCCAAGGTTTTCACCCACCGAACCGAGTGGCTCCAGACCACCTTCATTTTGGTTAGTCTTCAAATGCTTCCCGGTACAGCACCAGAGCTCCTGAAAGATGTGACGAGGTTGTTGGTAGGTGCCATTGAGTCCTTCCCCACTCACCACAACGGAGCCAAACATTGCCAGCCCTGTGCCATCTCCACCAGGGTTCTTATGTTTGAGCCCAGGCTGGCAGCTACTGGGCCAATCCATCTTGATCCAGAGGACAAATTAACTTTTCAAGGCCCCCCCCCCCCATCCCCTCATCGTTTTATCTGTCTAAACAGCAGGACCAGAGTAAATATTAGATGTTGGGTTGAACATTTCCCAAGTACAGTTTCTGACTCTCAGACAGGAAATTGGAAGACTCTGTTACCATAGAGAAGACCATTCTGGAATGGAAATTCAAATCTTCCTGATCAAAGTGCTTGATAAGTTTGGTAATGCATGATAACATTTCTATTTGTACTAATCCTTTCTCATGGCCCCATTTACAAAAACTGGAGGGGATATTAAAGTAATCATGTGAGTGTTTATCCAGTTTCTGCATCTCTAGTTATTTAGAACCTTGAGCTTCTTTGGAAGTTGTCCTTGTGCAGTTATTACATCCTGATGATTGAACAAGTGTTTCACTCGCTTGGCGTGAAAAGCAAATGTCACTTTGGAGTTGATGTAGCCCACTGACCTCATTTTATGGATGAGGGCTTTGGGGCTCAAGAGGTTAAATGAGTTGCTGCCTAGGGGGTCAAGCCTTGGCTGGAACAGAACTTTCTGAAAATCCTCTGCCCCGCCTCACCGTGATGACCTGTCTGGGTAAACTTTGCTATTTGTTGTGGTATGATACTATCTGACCTGTCTGGGTAAACTTTGCTATTTGTTGTGGTATGATACGATCCGAAGTGAGGTGGAAGCCTGCTTTCTCACCTGACCTATTGTTGCTACTTGGTCATTAGGCTCCATCTAGTTGGTTCTGAGTAATAGTGATTCCCTGTCCTGCTCCACCCTCACAATCGCTGCTGGGTGTGAGACCATCGTTCAGCTACTGTGTCAGTCCATCTCATTAAGGCTCTCTTTGAGGGCAGTTTGTGACTGTGTAAGATTAGCCAGGTAGGTCATTGATATGGCTGCTATGCCACTGATATGGTTTCAAAGTCCTCAGACATGATTTGGGGTACTTCTAAATCAGACTCTTCAATTTGTCATTGCAGAATAGTAGTCCACATGACGGTCCAATTCAGTATATCTATCCATTCAGCTCACTGTGCAGTGATCTGTTCGGGTACTAAAAGCCCGGATGTTGTCTCTATGACATTTGCTGTTGTTAGGTGCCAGTGAGTTGGTACCAACCCATAAGGATCCTCAGCACAATGGAATGAAACGCTGCAGGCTCCTGCGCCATCCTCACTATTAATTGCTCCTGTGCCTGATCCCCTGGACGCAGCCACTGTGTCAGTCCATCTCGTCAAGGGTCTTTCTCTCTTTCACTCCCCCTCCGCAATGCCAACACCGTGTTATTCTCCAGGTGCTGGTCTCTCCTGACAATAGCCACATGTCCAAAATAGGTCAGACAAAGTCTTGCCATCCTTGCTTCTAAGGAGCACTCTGGATTTACTTCTCTTTCAATCAGATCTGGTTGTCCTTTTAGCAGTTCACGGTACTTTGATATTTTTCTCCAGCACCACAATTCAAACACATCTATTCTTAGGCCTTCTTTATTTAGTGTCCAATTTTCACATGCATATGATGCAATGGAGAATACTATGACTTGTGTCAAGTGGACTTTAATCCTCAGAGTACCGATAACATCCTTGCTCTTCCGATACTCTAAAGAGGTCTTGTGCAGCATATTTTCCTAGTGAAATAGGCATTTTGATCTCTTGACTTCTGCTTCTATGAGAACTGATTGTGGATCCAAGTAAGATAAATTCCTTGACAACTTCAACTTTTTCTTCATTTGTCATGATGTTACATATTGGTCCACGTGTGAGGATTTTGGTCTTCCTTACCTTGAGTTGTAATCCATACTGAAGGCTATAATCCTTGATCTTCACCAAGTGCTTGTATTCTTCCTCATTTTCAGCAAGCAAGGTTGTGTCAACTGCATATTTTAGGTTGTTCATAAGCCTTCTTCCAATACTGATGCTGCACTCTTTTTCATATGATCCAGCTCTCTGATGATTTGCTTGGTATATAGATTGAACATGTATGGTGGAATGATATAACCCTGATGCACACCTTTTCTGATTTTAAATCATTCAGTATTTCCTTCATCTGTTCACACAACTTCCTCTTGATCTATGTACAAGCTCTGAATGAGTACAATGAAGTATTCAGGAATCCCCATTCACCTCAAGGTCATCCACAGTTTATTATGGTCCACACAGTCAAATGCATTGGCATAGTTCATGAAACACAAGTAAACACCTTTCTGGTATTCTCTGACATTTGCATATGTCCTTTATTTTTCTTTCTTGATTTCACAGACAGTTTGAAATGATTATTCCCACTGAAGACTCAGTTATCACAGAAATGACATCCACGTTAAGAGACTGGGGCACCATGTGGAAGCAACTCTATGTCGTAAGTAACTTTTAATAACATAATTATTGTGGTAGAGTTGTTTTCAGAAACATCTGAACATTTGCACAGGAATTATTGTAATTGTTACGTCTTGGTGATTCCATCGAAGCATCATGTGGCAGAAATGCTCTGCAGGTTTTTGGCTCTTGGTGACACAGTGGTTAAGCATTTGCCTGGTAACCAAATGGTTGGCAATTTGAACTCAACAGCCCCTCCCTGGGAGAGAACCACCAACCTTTCAATTAGCAGCTCAGCATGAATGCACATCAGCAAATACCTGATTATCTTTGGGTGGCAGAAATGGTGAAGCTGTCAAAAGGGTGGTGGTTGCAATACATCCAGAGGCTGGCTCTTCTAGAGGCTGCCCTGATAGTCTGTCTGCCTCGGAAACATCAGTCTTCAGACACTGCTTGAGCAGTTGTGTTCTGTACACAGCGGGTCGTCATGACTCAGAGTTGACTGGTCAGCAGGTAGCAACAACAGTATCTGAACACCTGCAGTAAATCAGTAGCACTCCTCAGGGAAAGCAACACGCAGATCTGAGTAAGACAGTCTTGTCATAACCGCGTGTCTACTGAGCAAATGTGCTACAATATAAATGATTATATTTCTGGCATCTCGTCAAATTGAATGTTTTAGGGAGGGGGTAGGCCTGCTGAATATTATCAGAGGGAAAGAAACTTAACGTTCAACATAGCATTCGTTTTAAATTATATTTTATTATATACATATGTATTTTTTTATGTTTGAAATGACCTTGTATGTCATTGAAAAATCCAAGTTCACTTCAGTTTTACTTTTCTTCCTTTTTAAGTCATGCAGACCAATATTTAGATCGGAGGGGTAAAGAAACTGGAGGTGTGGCCCCCCCACCCCCCCGAAGCAATTTTAATTAATTAATTAATTTTGGGGGTTAACCCCTCCATTTTGCCACCCCCCATCTCTCCCTTCTGCTGCCTTTATTTTCATTCTATAAAGAATTTAAGTACATTATAAATGATGATGCCTAACTTGAAGTCACTGGGTTAAATCCAGCCGCGGCTCTGTGTGAGAAAGAGGATTAACTGCTTCTGTTAAGATTTACAGCCTGGTTCATCACTGTGAATCAGAGTCGGCTTGATGACAATGAGTCTAAATGGTAAACGTCTTAGCCAGAATCATTGTCATTGTCCTTAATATACTAGCACAAGGAATTTGCAGGGGTGAGGGGCACATAATCAGTTTTATGGGTGGAGGAGAGGTATTATGGATGTCTGTATATGTTTACTTATTTATTATAACTGATTACTTGATTGAACACTTAGTTTGTGCCAGGTCCCTAAAGGTAGGAAGTACATTCCATATAATTTCTCCTTTAATTCCAAACCCATGCAGTGAGATATTAACTGTTACCTGCCCCACCTTCAAGTGAGGACATTGCGGCACAGAGTGATGGAAAAGTGAATCTGATCTGATTCTTATCCTCTCCTCACTCTGAACCATTGTCTGTGCTGTAGCTGGGAGGCAGTAAAGCTTTCAGGAAGATGATGGCTCTTGCTTCTTTCATTTGTTAAGAAACTTAGAGCTTACTCATGTGACGACTTGAATTAAACGGACAGAAATCTATCGTGCCAATCCAGACACAAACGGGCCGGCCAACAGAGAACCCAAATGCATGAGGGCCATCGGCACCAGGTGGCAGTTTTTATGGCCCGCTACATCTTAACTGGCACAGGCTGTTTCACTGAGCCAAGCAAACCTTTAACAGTCTGATGAAACCGTTTTGATGTTGGGGTGTCTCTGACTTTGAAACTGATGGTGATTTTTGAGGAGTTACTACTGAAATCCACACAGCAGTCTTCGATGAAATGTAGAATTGACACTTTGTCGGGTTGAGATCTCTGCAAAGTCAAAGTCACTGTGACCTCAAGGACCTGTCACCAGGGACTTGCGATGAACAAGCTCTCTGCCTCTTTTTAAAATTTGGCTTGAAAAGGTTGAAAAATCCAAGCGTGGCTTCGGCGCCAATAACAATGTGCATGACACTAACATGGGGTGGGGGGCACGCTAGCTGAAACATTTAAACCACTGCATTCCCAATGCCCAGCAAGAGAATTCTGAAAATAGTTGGGTGATGAACGAGAGCACCAGCACTTTTTCTTTGATGTCGCTGCTGGTGAGGAACACAGTTGAATTTGTTCCTCTGGCAATCCCTTACCTTGTTACTTTTGCCTGCTTTTGAGGATGTAGGCATCTGTCAATTCGCGGAGACACACCTGGTTTGAAAATGTACCTGTTGTAAACTCTGGGAGCCAGCCTTCTTCCTGAGAGATCTCAGCGCTTTCCTGGCTACTGGCATGATCGTCCAGGGTGAATGTCCTGCAGGAATCAGATATGGGAGATTATGAATGAGGCAGTTTAGGCCAGGGCAAACCTTTTGGTCTTCTCTTGACCGTATGTGCCAAGTGTTTTGATTCAAAATTGTCATGCTTGAGTGTATTTGCGCCCACATTTTTTTCTCCTGATGGTTTTAGGGCACCTCACTTTTCCACTGGCAGCTCGTAGAGGAGGGCAATAACATCTTGTAAGTTGTGGGCTGCATATGAGAGAACTCAAAGGGGCTTCAAAGAGTTTGTGAAGAACGGGATTAAAGCCCAAGGGAAATTCTCTACACACATTTCAAAGGCCCTTGGTATAGATGAGTATTTAACATAGAAGCACAAGGCTGGAGAATGACTAGTTGCTTTTTGTAATCTTTTAACAGTCTTTAAAACTAATTAAAATATGTAACCACCCCAAGTCTAGGAGAAACACACCTGCCATTTTGGATTGACATATAGACCCTAGGCTGGGTGTTGTATTTATATTTTCCTTAGGATTTTCTTAGGTCATTTTTATTCCCCCATCTCATCGAAAAGTTTCATTTGTTTACTGACCCTGGGGTTAGTATAAAGCCACTGTCGACATTGACACCCAAAACTGGATAGTTTCCATTTTAAGGCAAATAAATGTGCTCATTTTCCAAAACACTCAATTTTCACAATTAACTTTTGTTACATATCTTACATGTGGCAGGTTTTTATTAAGATATTCTTTTAACCAAGTATGCAATGCTGTCCCCTACTCTCTTCATTTCACAACAGATCTAAGGCATTTTTTACATTCTTTTATAGTCTTCCTACCCAGCCAGTTTTTAAAGAATCCTAACATTATGACTGGGTGTCATACCAGTTGGGGCTGTGATTGTATTCTCAGAGAGCATGTGTGCAGCCAGGCCTGTGGCATACCGGAGCCCCGTCAAGAGTACAGTCTTGGAAACTTACAGGGGCAGTTCTACAAAGATTTAGTAGTTCCACGAACACAAGACCCTATAAATCGAGGTATTCCCCCCCCCCCCCTCTCTCACTGGATGCTGGGGCTCCACAACACAGACCAGCCATGGTTGCTGGGAGCTGCCAGCCAGTGGAGGACACAGGCATCACACTGCTACTCACAAGAGTGTTCTGTTTCCATGCCTTGAAAAGACTTGTATGGGAGCGTATGCCCTGAGTCGTAAGTGAGACGTGCTACAGCCATAGAGCAAGTCTATTGAAGGAGATTCCCTGGACCATCAGACAGTGGCAGGCACAGGAGGGGTCAGCAGGATCTGCTCCCTCTCCTTCCTCTTTGTCTACCCCACCACTCACCGTCTCCAATTTGCCTGTTGTCCAGAGGAACGAAGGTGATCTCTTCCACCGGCTGTGGCACATCATGAATGAGATCCTGGATCTGCGGCGCCAGGTGCTGGTGGGCCACCTTACCCACGACCGCATGAAGGACGTGAAGCGCCACATTACTGCCCGCCTCGACTGGGGCAATGAGTGAGTACTGCTCAGTGCAGGCCCTGTCCCCTGTGGGTTGGATACAACAGAAATGTCACAGACATTCCCAGGGGGCTGGTGACATCTCCAGAAGACAGCATGTGGGGGCTTTTCCACTTTTCCTTTGGGGGACTTAGGACAAACTGGTATTGATGGGCTGGTACGGGCACCGTTTCATGGTTTGTTTGCTAGTTCCCCGTGTGGTCTTGGAGTGTGCTCATTCTCACAGAAAACCAATTACCTCACAGTGGACCCAACCCTTGTGGCTTCTGATGAAAATGGGATTTCATTTTAAGCAACGGGTTTGAGGTTTGGCATATGCAAAAACAATGCAGGGGGCACATCTGACCTCCTCTGGCTACACAAGGGAGGAGGAGAATCCATCTCCATATTAACTGAAGGCCAACTAGGCAGAGGTCAGACACACCTCCAGCCTCCATCTTTCTGTACCGTATTCTGGCATTCACTGGTCCTTCCCCAGCACTCTGCTTCTCTGCTGGGTTCGGTAATACACTGCCATGGCTCTACACATACCCACTATGATGGGGGTTTATTAGGGACGTTAGCAGGTTACGATAAGCCAGGATCGGAAAACAGTAAGGATTCAGTCATTCATCCATTGTAACACCTCTTCTCAGCCAGCAGCCAAGTCCCTTTCTCTGCTCCTCAGCCACATGATTGCTTGTCCTCTGCCTCCATGGGCCAGGAAGCCCCCCTGCTGCTCTTCCTCACTGTCCTGTCTTCACACTATTCCTTTGCTCTGTCTAATGGCCTCCTTGCTACAGCCTCAGGTCTTGGTTTGGCATGGTCTCTGCTACATCTGGTCTTGGCCTCTGCCACTTCACATACCCTGTTTACACAGTCTCCCCTAATCATTTGGTGGGAATTACAGAGGCCTGAACAGAAGAGCCATATTAAGACATTTCACTTCACCATATCCTGTGACTTGCATGAGTTCATGCTTCTCATGACAATAGGTCACCGGGAAGCTGGGGGCAGATGCAAGTGTTCACCGTCTTTGAAAGTTGTATGGCAGGTACACCAGGAGGCGAGGACCAACCCTGGGTAGCCCGCTGTGCATGTCCCACTGAAATTCAGAAAAAGGATGCTTTTGTTCAAGATTCACTTTTAAATAAAACTGAAAGGTGACTAATTTAAAATAACTGTCTGGCACTTTAAGTAGTAGATTTCATCTAGTAAACCTCTGGCCGAGGTTGATGTCTCCACTAACTTTGAATATGAATATATGGGCGAGAGATTAGAAGAAGCCAACTTTGACCATGATCCTAGCCTTTCATTAGGCTTAACTTTAGGGAGACAACAGGGCCCTCAACACCCAAATTCCACGTGCTCTTTGGACCTGGGCAGGGTCATGGGGTGGGAGAGGAGAGAAGGAGGCAGGAAAGAAGCAAAGGACAGACACCTTTGTGCCCGGGAGGGATTCTTCTCTTCCAGAATTTGGGAGCATCAAGTTAAGGCTACGGCAGCACGTCTCCTAACCAAGGAAGATGCTCTCTCAGAAGCCAGTTCTGATACCCAATGAGGTGACAAGGGGAACCAACTCCTAATTCTGAACCTGTTCCACCACGGAGCCCTTTTAGACTATGTTGCGTGGGACATGCCGTTCCCACACACAGACAGTAGGTAAAGCACCCGCAGCCATTGAGTGCCACTCTGACTCAGAGCAGTTCTGCAGAATGGAGTAGAACCTCTCGGCGGGTTTTGGAGGCTGTAGATGTTTAAGGAAGACAGCTGCTTCGTTTTTCCCCTCCTGGAGCAGCTGGTCGGATGGAACGGATGACTTCTTTGGTTAACAGACCAATGGGTTCCTCACTGCACATGCAGGGTTCCTTGTAGGTGAAGGAGCGCCAATTCTTTCTCTAGAGACAATTCACACTGAACTGAAGTAAGTGGAGCTGTGGAGTGGCAGCAGAAGGTTGGAGCTAGTAACGCTGCTTCTTACAGACCAGCGGCACATTCCTGAGGCATCCTTGACTTGACTTCCTTGTCTTTCGAGGGAATAAGCTGAACCAGAGGAAGTCCATGGGTCTCTTCAGGGCAATATGATTCAAAACACACTGTTCTCTCCTGAGAAGGAGATCGGCCGGCAGAGCCCCTGGACTTGCTGGAGAGGACTTTGGCTGTTGGGTCTGAAGGCTGCCTGAGTGTTCTTTCATATGTTCCTTTATTATTTTGAAACTGCTCTTCAGTTTTTCTTTTGGTCCGCATTTAAAGGGGTGCTTTTACATAAAAAGGAAACTATGAACTTAGCTTATCGAAGACAACAGAAAGGTGAATCGGGCCAGAAGATCATGCTGTTTCCGATTTTAGAAAGAATGCGATGGCAAAAGGGAAGGACGAAGGTGTGAGAAACATTCATTCTGACTAATTATGACTCAGCTTTTAACTGAGCACAAGTTGGCACTATGGGTAGTTCTGTGGGCATTTGTTGGTAAATCGGTGAAACAATGATGCATGCATTTTATGAATTTATGAATTTTCTGAGCTCTGACTCTTGATTTCTTGGCAGTTTTTGACTGCTCATTTTAAAAATGGCTTAGTGGCATGTGGATGATGCAGCTATCTCGTTCTGTTCTTTGAAATATAAATTTGTTTTCTTATTGGACAATGTTAAATGGAAAGTGAATTAAAGTAATTCTCTTACCTGCTCCACAACATCAAATTGCCCTTCAGAATTAGTTGTCCACATGTGGAGCTCTGAGGAACCCTGGTGGTGCACTGGTAAAGCATTCAACGGGTCATGGAAAGGTGAGCGGTTCAAACCCACAAGTTGCTCTCAGGCTGAAAAGCGTGGCCATCTACATGCTTCTGCAAAGATTTACAGTCTTGAAATGCTGTGTGGCAGTTCCACTCTTCTTAGAGGGTTATCTACGAGATAGCAGCAGGTTAATAGTACTCTAGATAAGTACTAATTCGGAATGTGACTCCTTTTCCGTTTCCTGGGTGGTACAGTTTGTGCCCAGCTAATAACCAGAAGGATGATGGCTGAAGCCCACCTGGTGGCGCAGGTGACAACACAGGCTTGTCACGCTGCATTCACAAAGACGACAGCTGAGGAAACTGGGACAGTTCTGCTCTGCACACATGGGGCCTCCTAAGTTACCAATCTGCAACAAAAACAACCCCACAAGAATGGATGGGTTCAGTCTCAAGTTGTCTGAGAGGAAGTCAGAAAGTATTGCTACTGGGTTTCCAGGCCATACGTTCGTTTTGGTTGTGTTGGCCGCCAGCAGATGACTGATGACAAGTTCCCTGTCTTCTTAGTTCTCTTAGTCTTGTTGGGGTGTAGGGTGAAAGAGGTCCAATCAAAAGAGTGGCTTCTGATGAGATGCTGGGCCAATTGAATCCAAGAGAGGTCTGCTCTTAAGGTTCTTTTTCAGAATGCCAAAGGAGTAATCTTAATAAATTTTCCTAAAAAACACGAGGTGTTCAGGAGTTCTTATTAGAAAGAAATTCTAAAAATATTTAAAACTGTAAGGGTGAGACAAAGGTCACGACAGGTGCTCCCAGGAACTTGAACGGTTTCCTGTTGTGACATGAGTCTGCCTATTCTTGGAGGGCACCAAGGGCTGCGCTACTAGACTCTCACCAAGAACCTCCAACCCGAATCTTGCTCCTGCAGACTTGTTTTTGTTCCGAAAACCACTTGTCACATACTTGGCCCCCCCATCCATCTGAATTTCTCAGTTCAAATTCTCAAGGAAGGAATCTCATCGATGCTGTCAATGTTCAAAGCATTTTATAGGAGGCCACTCATGTTGTTAGCCTGTCTGTGGAAGATTTGTCCTTGGATCAGGCGGACTCTTGTGGGCTACTTAGGTCTGGATCAGAAAGGGAGATGGTCTGCTGCTTGTATGCCCCTTCCAGCAAAGACTGTGGGCAAGAGCTCCCAGGATAGGGTGGGAGTGAGGTACAGTGATACAGTCAAAACTGTCTCAAAGATGAAACTTTTTAGCACTGAAGGATCCTGGTGGTACAGTGGTTCAGCACATGGGAGGAGGACGTGGTCACCCGCTTCTATGCACATGGCCCCTTGGAAGCACTGTGGGGCAGTTCTGCTCCATCCTGTGGAGTCACTGACAGTTGGCAGCAACTGCACGGCCTGTCGGGAGGCTTCAAGCATTCTTGGGGAAGTCCATACTTCAGGAGCAGGTCCACCTGACTCTTCTGATGGGCCTTCCCTGTCACCTTCCATTTCTGAAGCTCTCCCCAGGGATCAGCCTTCATTACACGCACTGCCTCAACTATGTTTGCAAATCGTGGAGGTTAAGTAAGACATCAGTGAGGAAAACATGGTAGATCAGACAACGACTATGCAAACAACAAACAACGTAGTAAAAGGAATCCACTTTAACGTACAGTCTATAAAGGTTTCTTTTCTCCCTTGTGCCATTTGTTTTCTAGGCAACTTGGACTGGACCTGGTGCCCAGGAAAGAGTATTCAATGGTGGACCCGGAGGACATCAGCATCACTGAGCTCTACCGATTGGTGGGTACCGGACACCTAGGCTCACAGCCTCAGGGCTCATTTTGTGGTTTCCCCTGCACGCCTCGTTCTTGCTTGACTTGGTAAGCACAGGTTGTTCGGGGTTCTATTTGGAGAGAATCAAGAGAATTGAGGGCTGAGGTGATCATGCCCTGAGCACAATAGCCAGTCGTGCCACTCAGCTCCAGACTTCATTATGTTCTCTCCTTAGCCCTCCCAGCCACTTGGAGGGGTAAGCAGTTTGACATTCTTTTGCACATTTTTATACTTTTAAAATGTTTGATATCAGGACCGCTTTGTAAGCGATGGTTTTCACTCCTGACTCCTCTGCGCGTGTGCTCCTCACCACCTCCCACATCTCCTCGAGACACACCAGGGATGGACAGCGTCTCTTCCTCCATCTCCAGTTGCTGGCTACCCACCCACCCCTCTCACTCCCAATCCATTTCTTCCAAGTGCTGCTGGCTGTTGGTAACCCTAACATATTTTATCATTTTGCTCATCATGGCACCAGGTATAACCTGAGATTTATTTCTAGTTGTGTGGTAGATTAAAGTCCAATTTTTAAAATTTGACTGGGTATCTCGGTTCCCCAAATCTGGTCTAATTTACTTTGTATTCGGCCTAATAATCTTACTACTTCATTCTGTATGTACTGCAGATATAATGTCCCTTTACCTGATCCTCCGGTACTTCTTCAGCTCTTTTTGACAACTCAGAGTTGCAGGGGGAGATTGGAAAGGGCCTTCAGAGTTGCAGTCAAGCCACGTTTCATCGCACTGTGATCTAATGAGTGCTGCATCTTCCCACAAAGTTCCTGGGAAGAGTGTTGTCAGAAGGATTAGGACCCTTTGGGAAGATCCTGCTTCTTTGTGAGTAGCTTCCCCTGAAGATGATCTGTATCTGGAAAACAGTGTAGAAATCAGCAGGCGTGAGGTGGAACTTTCTCAATGCTGGTTGCCATTTGTTCTGCAGTCACTGATATGTTCAGAGTCTCTACACCCATGCTGTCCGTCGGAGTGATTTCGGTTTTTGAGGAATACCATGTATTTCCTGTACTTTGCTCTCAGTTTCTTGAGAGTGATGTGCCCTGCTATCCATCAGCACTAACCAGAATGTCTGTTTAAACAGATAAATAGTTAAAGGTCAGCTGCAGGAAAATCAAAACAAGAGTATTCTTACATAGCATCATCATTTCTTCTTGACTTATATACCAAATATTGCCTGTGTAATGTATTAATCAGTAACATCCTGAATTGTGACATCATTATTGTTGTTAGTTTATGTAATTCTTTTGGGCATCATACTTTTGTTTTTGTTTTTTAGGCTTTCCTGAATACTCAAGGTTAAGCCTCTTCAGATATTGCAGTATCTTAAAACATTGTTCAGTATGCCCCATGTACTCTTCGGCAGTACTTTACACCTAGTACACACTTTGTTTTATATGTCATTAGGGTATCATGAAAACAAATCATGGGTTTTTAATCTAAACAACTAGGCTTAAATTCTGGCTTGTCTATTGCCCTGCTCTGTGATCTTGGATTTACTGCTTCATCTCCCAAGTCTCATTTTTTTCATCTGTTGAAAGGGAAATAATGCCCACTAGGTTTGTTAAAAAGATTACTGAAGAAATGAATGTAAATTGTCTTTCTCTGGCAATAATATTTGCAACACACCTAAGAATTCAGTTGATATTTATTCTTTTCTCATCTGTATTTCATCCATATCAGAGAGGCAAGGTGGCATGAATAATTGATGGCACATGCTAAATTTTAGGATTAGATTTGCTGTGTTTAATAAAATGACAGGTGCTTAGACATAGTAGAAAATTGACTTCACTCTCTCTGAATCTAAATCCAGAGGTAGAAAGTTCTAGTGTTGTTTATGCTTTCAATGTGTCAAAAGCGATTAAGTCCTCCATTTCTGCTGTGTAGTCTACGGCTCTGATCACCATGGACACCTCAATGTGCAGTATAGCGGCAAGAGTTCCAGACATTATATCTGCACGCCAAGCAGTGGGAAGAGACAGCGTTCCCTCAGCTGATTCAAGTACTTAAAAGAACAAAAAACTTGCACTTGTCTCACTGTTCAAACATAGAAGAGTTACGTTCCCATAGCTAACTGAGGGTATCAAATATTTGATTTTTTTCCAGTTCAATTTTGTGTGCATGCATGCAATTGTGTGTGTTTTGTGGGTGCAAGAATAAGGCGGAGATTCACTATGCAGCCAAGCCCCACTTTTCAAGAGCAAGGTGAATCAGAGTCTGAAGGACGCTCTTAACTGCAGACTTGCTTCTCTGATGGGAGTGAGATCCCCCACCCCCACCCCTGCTTCTGAGGGGCTCACTTTATACCCAGCAGGATGACAATCACTCACAGCTGAATCACAGAACCAAGCACCTTCCCTCACCATCTTACCCAGACCCACCAGGGAAAAGTCATTAGTAGGAATAACAAAAACCAACCAGAGGTAGACTGGGCATAAATAATCCACTGCACTACAGTGGCATTTGTTGTTGCTGTTGTTTGATTTTATTTACCATTTTATATGGGCTGGCAGATTAATTTAGTCTCTTATGGATATTCCAAATGTTGATAGTGGCTTCCCAGAGAAGATTCTGGGGCCTCCTTTGGGCTCTAATTGATTAGGAGTCTCTGACATTGCCAGGAAAGACGAGAGGGCAGTTCAAATTCTGATCCAAAGTCTTCATTTTACAAAAAGGGAGAATAAAGCTTACTTTTCCATGCATGTCTTCTTGAATATAGTTATATTTTACTTTTTCTAAAATATGGACTTGGGCCAAAGAAAAGCCCGGACAATTATAAGCTTCAGAAAGACAAGTTCTCTTCTGAAGGAAGTTTTTTTTTCAACTCCACTTAAAAAAAATCTAGTCCTGGTAGCGTAGTGGGTTACACATTAGGCTACTAACCACAAGGTCAGCAGTTTGAAACCACCAGCCACTCCACAGGAGAAAGAAGAGGTTTTCTACTCCTGTAAA